GTTCCTCATGGCCAACCTCAGCCTCCCTTGGCCCATGCAGTCTGCTTGTCTTGAGCTGCAGGGGCCCCTCCACCCATCTGTGCCCCACAGTGGTGCTACCAGCTTTGGTTCCCATTTGCTGTTCCCTTCTGGTGACAAGGCACCCGTGAGGTCAGTGCTCGCAGACTCGCCCGTGTCTCTGGCTGTACCTTGTGACAGCTCAAGGACTGGCACGCCGTGGGCAGTGTGGATCCCAAAGTGCTGCAGTTGTTGCCTGACCTTTCCCTGCCGCCGTGCTCGCGGCTGGGCTGGGACCTGCTCGGTGCAGTGGAGCTCCCTGCCTCCGGCTGCCCCCGGGCCTGGCACCACCCCTCGAGCTCACCTGCCCTTTGGGAGCGAGAGGGGGGAACGTCAGCATGGCCTTGGAAAGAAAAATGCCACAAACCCACTTGTTAAACTTTTATCCCTCTCAAAAGAAAGTGCAAATGTATTCGTGGGGAAAAGTCCTCTCTTCTGGCGACCTGTGTTCAAAACTTTTGTAACACATGTCAGCACTTGCTAAATATGAGCCCACCCTAATACAGCCCTCAGAATAATATATTAAAAACATGCTTTGTAATCAATCAAGCATACAGATGAGGACTACCTCAGAGCAGAAATTAAACCCTAGAAGTATGGGCAGCTTCTATAAGCTTGGGCTAAACCAAAGCACAATATATCCATTCTCCTAACCACAGGTACATAATTATGTGTGTTATTATAGTCTGTCCCAAGTTCCGAGGGTATGTTTGAATCCCTGTGGATCTCAAAAAAAGCAGTAAGCTTGGAACGAACTTGAGCCTTAAAGCTTCCCTCCTCGATTTCTTCCTCGTCTGACGTTTCCACACACCAGCCAATAAGTTTGAATCCCTGTGGATCTCAAAAAAAAGCAGTAAGCTTGGAATGAACTTGAGCCTTAGAGCTTCCCTCCTTGATTTCTTCCTCGTCTGACATTTCCACACATCAGCCAATACCTTGTGTTAAATAGCATACTGAAATAAGTAGTCTTTGCTTAAAAACCCAGCTAGAGGCTGCTTTCCTCTGATATCCATCTTACCAAAAAATTTTGTGTCTGAAAGAAATCTTAAGACCAAAGAGATTTTACTCAGTACCTCACTCCTTCGTAACAACAGCAACAACAAGTAGTAGCATCCTAATAGCAGAGCATGCCCAAGGAGGAGGGTTCCCTCCCATCTGAGGAGAAAATTCCCTCTCTGGAATATTATCCAGATCCCTTCAGCAGATGTGTTATGATTTCAGGAGCTGCTGCTCGTTTGGGATTCCCAGGTAGCAGCAGCCGTGGTGCTGCTGTTTGAGGCAGGGCTGTTCCTGGCAGTACACCTATCGACAGCACCACTGCAGAGCTTCACCACTCAGAAGTACACGTCTAATTTGCTTTCACAAGGAGAGAACGTGCAATTCTTACAAGAGTAACTACTACCTGGATGTATGATTACTGTCAGCACAGAAACATTGCCATAAATATGTGACTTTGAACTGATTCTTGCAAGGGAGACCCCAGATAAAGAAGCAAGATATTAGTTCAGGCCACGTTAAAGTGTCACGACTGAATTCAGGCCTCCCTAGCTGTGACACCCACCCTGTCCACACAACAGGCAGCAGCAGCACTCCAAAAAAACCAGAGAACCATCATCAGGAACTTGCAAGGAGACAAAACTCGCCCTGTGAGAGCAGCAGTTAGTATTCCGGGCACTGCTGTGACTCATTTGTTACCGTACTATCTGATTAACTGTATAGGAATTAAAACCAGCAATCAAAACCCAACAATCTCCTCTCACCTACAGAATATTTAGGCAGAGCTTACCTTCCACCAAACGCAGGCAGCCACCTCCTCAGTCCTGTGCTGCTAAGGCAGGGGAGCACTCCAGCAAAGCAAACTCTGCGCCCTTCCCTGGCGAGGAGAGCCACAGGAGGAAGCTCAGGAGGGAGCACACTGCTCTGGGCACAGAGAGGACACTCCCTGGCCGTACCAGAGCAGCCCAGGGAGTGCACTGACCCGTGCAAGGGGAAGCTCCTGCTTTCTCTCCTCTGCAGGCACACTGCAGGTCAATGAGGCCACAGCTGCTGGTCATGACATTAAACACCTCATTCAGGGGGGGGTTTGGTGGTGCAGGTGCCCAGCACTTAACAGGAATCAGCAGTCACTTGTTGGCCTGAAAACTTTGGGAATGCCTTTGCTGCACTGCTTAGAGCTCTTGCTTACCCAGAGTTGTAGGGCCAGTACTGATCTGCTGCAGATGGGATGGGTAACAGCTATTCACTGACAGCCCTTTGGGATCCTCTGGTGAAGAAATGGTTTTACACCTGCTTAGTGCAATGGTTATGGGTTGGCAGGATAAATCGTTGTGATCTTTAGGCCTGGTGCTGTGAGAGCCACGGCGTCTCTGGGTTCAGACTGAGGGGTTCTGTTGGTAAGGGGCAGGGCAGTGGATGCCTATGTCCCCCTCCATGCGTGGGACCGATTTGGTGGAAACCCTGGACAGTGACACTTCTTCTTCTTACCCTGCAGGTCCAGAGGCACCGGGATACTTGATTTAATTTTAATTGCTAAGCCACAAAGACTGCGACCATGTCTCTGGAAGACATCCGCATGAACACCCAGGATTTGCTTGAAACAAAACAGCTAGATGCTGGAGGATTTGGAACAATTTCTTTATGCTTGCACAAGAAACACGGACAAGTAGTATTAAAAAAAGTGTATACAGGACCCCAGCATGCTGAGTAAGTCACAGGTCTTACTTCTGATTTTTATCTTCCAGTCACTCTAAGGAAGCCTCTAAACTCAGTGGACAGATTACATGTGATTTAGGTTTAATCTGAGATCTTAGCATTTGGGAGATGCTGTATGTGGGGAAAATACTCTGGGACAATACTAGCAGCTGTCCTGCACGTTCTCCCTTCTTTCCTCAGGAGCCAGCTTTTTTAGCTTTAACTCCTCGTCCCAGTGCAGTTCCCCTTCCCTGTCACAAGGTGGGCACTGCTGTGAATTGCTGAGTCCTGAGGACTCGGTCCTTGGGAGGCAGGAGACTGTGAGCACATGAGATTTTCAGGCTTGCTGATTGATTTTCAATACAATTGTCCAGCTATAGATGTCTAGTAGGAACAAAACACACAAGCTATCAAGCAGGATTCCAACTCCACATGTATAATCCAAATTTCTCTCCTGAGAAAAAGCAGTGAGCCAAGCCCACAGATTTAATTTGGAGATTGAATGAGACGTTGATCTCAGTGGACTCTGGTCACACTGCAGCTCTACTACCTCTCCCACAAGTTGTCTGCTAGAGAGAGGCAAAACCACATCTTCTATTTTGGGTTGTGAAAAATAAATTGACTGAGTTTTTATTTTGCCAGTGGGAAGCAAATTAAGGGATTCTAGTAGTTTGTAAACTGCACAGGCAGTTTGGGGTGAACGCAGTTAAAATGGACAAGCCTGCCTGGTTAATCTTGGTTGTGATTTCACTTTCTCACTACACAGGCTCATAAATTTGTTATTCCTTAAAGTCCTGTATCAAGAGCCTTAAGGAAATGTACAACTGAGCCTAATGCAAACACAAGAGCCCCTTTCTTCTCTAGTACTAGAGGAACAGAGGGAGAAAGTGGCTCCCTTGTAAGTCAAGAAGTAGGAGAGCATTCACAAGCCGTGTAGCCTCAGGATCCTCTTCACACCCTTTTGCCTGATGCGTAGGACAGGAGCAGTGGTGAGAGAAAGACTGGAGTATTATGGGTGCCATCCTTCTCTAACACACTTGGTGAGCTCCCAGCACTGTACCTGTGACTACTGATGGGTGGTTCTGAGACTCAGGTAACGTTAGGCTTTGAATTCATGCTAAATGTGTAGTCATTAGTAAATGCTATCACCACCCACTGTGTGGACGGATTCCCTGTCATCATTTTGAACATAAACACCCGCCCTCTGCAAAATCCTGGACAAGAGGTGGTGGAGAGTGTCTGGATCCTCCTTGTCCAAAGGCTCTCTCAGCCCTACCCTGTCCAGCTCAGGGACACGGACCTGCACAACCAGCAGTCCCCCTGCCCAAAGAATGCTCATGCACTTTTGGAGAAGTCTGTGCACAGTCTGTGCAAGGCACCTGAGCCTTGCAGAATGTAACGGGGCACGGACAAAGCTGTGTCAGCTCAAAAGCTGTTGAAGTCATGGTTCATCTTGCAGTGGCTCAAGGCACGGTGACACATCTGGCCACTGTTTTCATTATGAATCAACAGTGCTTTGATCCTGGTGTTCTCTCTAGCCTGGCACCAAGTTCAGTGTGATTCCTGTGTTCCAGGTACAACAACGCCCTCCTCGAAGAAGGCAGGATAATGCACAGGCTGCAGCACAAGCGGCTGGTGAAGCTCCTAGGTATTATTTTGGAAGATGGAAACTACTCACTTGTGATGGAGTATGTGGAGCGGGGGAACATGATGAAAGTGCTGCAGAAAGTGAGCGGTGAATTGTTCATCCCTTGCTGTTCCTTAGGGTTGATAAGATGCTTGAAAGGGACAGGACGTTCTGGCCATCTCCAGAGAACAGGGCCTTTAGTTTCTCACTCTGCTTTCTGTATTAGCCAGGGGCAGCCCCACCTTCTCTAGAGACAGCAGAGGACAACTGTGGCTTTCCTGCACACCACAGAGGAGCAGAGCACACTTACAGGTCCAAAGCTGTAGGAGTGTTTGCAGAGCATTTGCTAAAGAAGAACACTTGTGTAAATGTGGAGTGACTAGAATTACTTCAATGCAAATGTATAGATCAGGAAGGACCTCACTCCAAGAAGGACATTGAGATGCTGGAACGTCTCCAGAGAAGGGCAGTGAAGCTGGGGAAGGATCTAGAGCCCAAGTGTGGGGAGGAGCAGCTGAGGGAGCTGGGGGTGCTGAGCCTGGAGCAAAGGAGGCTCAGGGGAGACCTTCTGGCTCTGCACAGCTCCTGACAGGAGCCTGGAGCCAGGGGCGGGTCGGGCTCTGCTCCCAAGGGACAAGGGACAGGACGAGAGGAAACAGCTTCAAGTTGTACTAGGGAAGGTTTAGTTTGAACATGAGGAACAATTTCTTCCCCTTGAGGGCTGTCTAGGGCTGTGCCAGGCTGCCCAGGGCAGTGGTGGAGTCCCCACCCCTGGAGGGGTTCCCAAGCCATGGAGATGTGGGGTGAGGGACAGGGGTCAGTGGGGACCTGGCAGGGCTGCATTGACAGTTGAACTGGGTGATCTCAAAGGTCTCTTCCAACCCAAACAATTCTATGATTTCATGACCTTAGTTCTTTTCTGCAATGACTTGAGCAGAGCTGCTCTTGGGACTGAGAAAGAAACATTTTCAAAAACTGTTCTAATTCAGTAGTTGTAGAAGCATTTTTTGATGGATGGTGCTTCTTGTCCTTTGTTCTAGGGCTGCCTGCCTTTGTCAGTGAAAGGGCGCTTTGTGCTGGAGATCACAGAAGGAATGGTTTATCTGCACGAGCAAGGCTTCGTGCACAAAGACCTAAAACCAGAAAACATCCTCGTGGACACAGACTTCCACATTAAGGTACTGGTTAGAATGGAAATGCAGAAGGCTGGTGCTCAGGGCTGGAGAACCCAGCTGAGCTGCATAGGTTGGCACCCCGAGTGCTGGGTGAGCTCCTCTGCTCTGAGCTGCTGCTTCAGGAGTGTCAGCAGTGGGTCACAGAGGGGTGGCAGCCTGTAGAGATTCTGAGCCTGAGACTTGGAGAATCTTCCCCAAACAGCAGAAAAAAATAGTTACTAGGGGCATTAAGAAAAAAAAAAATTATGTTGTTGAGAATTAATGAACTAAAGATAAAACAGCTAGAAAGAAAAAATCCCAAACCTTCACACAGATTGAAACAAAGTAGAATGTCTTTTGTATCACGTCTTCTGTCCTTTATTGCTGTAATTCCTCCTCCTGCCTTTACCTCCTCCTTTTTATTCCTTTCCATCTTTTGCCTATTATCTTTTCCTTTTTGTCTCCCTCTTTTTTTTCCCTTAGTCATCATTAAATCACAGCCAGCAGCTACAGAAAAAGCAGCACGAGACTACTTCAAAGAAGGGTTTATAAGCCTGTTCCAAAGCCCTTCTATTAACTTCAGTGGTTTTGGATCAAGATACATAGGCAGAGAGCCTAGTGCTGAATAAACCTGAGTAGAATTTGTAGTAGGAGATCAAATGTCCTGTCTCTGGTCAAGGTGAGTTGCTGAAATAATCTCCCTGTTTCGGTTTGACACTGCAGAATAAATTCCTGTGGAGGGAGCTCTCTTGTTTAGTATTTCTCACAGTTGAGTTGGTGAGAGATGGTTTGACAAGCTCAATACACTAGCAAGTCCTGATGCAGTGTGAGCAGCTTGCAGATCAGAGGTATAAACTAATTTTTTTTGCCAAAAATTTGTTTTAAATTGTGATTTGCTTTAAATGTAAGTTGGATGGATTGCTGGGTTTCAGCTTGCTTATATGGACAGGACCAAACTAGGCTGTCATCACACTGCATGACAAACTGAACTGGAGCCCAGGATCAGATCAGGATTCCTTAAGCATCTGGATCAAAAGTACAGTTTAAGGCAGCTGTTGTATGATCTGTCTGCTTCAGTGTGTCCAGTATTGCCAATCTGTATAAAGGGAAGTAGTTGTTCTAGGAAACTGCAAATGTAGGAAGATTTGTATCATGTATTCCTCTATCACCTTAGACCTCCTCTCACTTGTGGACACAAACATGGACTCCTGCTTCCTCAGCAGGATGTCACTTACATTTTCTTCTTCCTCTAAATACATGGCCTCCAAGTTTAGCCCAAAGCTTCAGAAACTCAAGAGGAGCAGTAAGCTAGTTAGAGGCAACAGGACAGAAAAGCAGAGCAGGTTAGAAAGAGCCAAGATGCCACCTTGGTTTTGTGAGATGTGATTGGGTTACAGACTCAGTTTGACAGCTGCCCGTGGCCAAGAGAGGCAGCCCCATTTCATTCCATTTTCCCTCTCCTGTTAGCCTCCTGTTCCCTTGCATTAGCACGGGTGCTAATCTGGCCACCCTGCCCTGACTGAGGAGGCCACACCAGCGGGACGCTCTTTACCTTGTTGGCAGTGCTACCCTTCCTTTGGGGAGCACTTGTTCCAGCAAGCCACGAGTGCCTTGCACTGGGTCTTACCCATAGAATGGCAAAGAGGTTTTCCTTCCTCAGAGCTGCATTTTTTGCAGTGTTTCATTCCTAGCTGTTATCCCCAGCTATTCCTTGGGAAGCCGCTGACCCCCCTGCTGTTCAGATTGCAGATCTCGGCGTTGCCTGCTTTAAGAACTGGAGTCGGCTGACCCAGAAGGAGACCTCCCGACAGAAGCAGATCAAGAGCACTCTGCAGAACAATGCTGGGACCCTCTTCTACATGGCCCCCGAGCACTTACGCTCCGTCAACGTGGAGCCCGTGGAGAAGTCGGACGTTTACAGCTTCGGGATAGTCACCTGGGCCATCTTTGCTAACAAGGAGCCCTATGAACGTGAGTGGCTTCCAGAAGGGCTGAGACACAAAAGAAGTTTCGTGTGTTCAGCATTTAAGGTTATAAAATTAGGATTAGTGCATGAAATCGCCCAGGCCCAAGGACAGCAGCTGTTAGGCACCTCGTGGCCAGTGAGAGGCATTAGTTGTGTCACTCCTGATGTCCAAGCCTGGGCCAGAAGGGCTGAAGTGAAATGCTGGCATGAACCCAGTCTGTTCACACCCACGTGGTGTGGGCATAACCCTGCCTGCACTGGCAGAAACCAAGACAAACCACGGGCAGGCCAGGATGGAATCCTTGCTGTCCACTGTGTCCTAAGGTGTGCTAGTCGTGGGTGGTTTTCCTCTTACCTGAAATGGTCACACTGCCAGTTACTGCTTCTCTCAGGTGGCAACATCCTTGTGTAGGGCAACAGGAGCAGACTGTGGAATTCCAGAGTCACGTGGTTATCATTTTAATCGATTTTTTTCCCTAAGTAAATGGCTAAACATTGTCTCTGTGGCCATCTTTGCGTTCGTACCCAGGGCAGAGCTTTGCTGAGATTCAGGTTCCAGAGGGCTAGACCTGGCACCCTTACTCACACCAGGTGTGCCTTAGATTCAGTTTTAGATATATTAATCTGAAAATAAGCCTGTAATCTGTGGACGTTGGGACAGTGGATTCAGAGTCACTAATGTGAGGGGTTTGTAGCTGTGCCTCAGTTGGGTTCCTTTGTTGTCTTCTTTTACATCCACACAAGCACTCGGGGAGCTGCCTGTGCTCTTCCTTTTACCCCCAGAAAAGTCACAATCCCCATGATCAGGACCTGAGAGGAAATTCTATTTTTCAGATGGTATAAATGAAACCCAGATTTGCTTTGGCATCATAAATGGGAACAGACCAGACCTGAAGGAGGTCACTGATAAGTGTCCAGTGGAGATTACTGACTTAATGCAAGCGTGCTGGGAGCAGGAGGCAGAGGAGCGACCGACCTTTGCAGGTGAGGCACTGCTCTGGGACTCTCCCTGCTGCACATCCCTCAGCAGCTGGGAATGCAGCAAAACAAACTGGAGTGTTTTCATCTTAAAATACAGAGTTTTGCTTTGCAAGCAGAAATGCCCCTTCACCTACCCAGTAAGGCATGCTCCCTGTGCCCTGGCTGAAAAAGGGATCTGGGCCAACACGTCCAGGTCTGGGAAATACCAGTGAGGGGACGGAGCCAGGAGACTTCATACCTGCTGATAATTTGTTTGCAGTGTGCTATCAGCTTTCTGCTGAACTTCACAGAGGAGCTCACAGCAAGGGACTCTGGGGCCAACTGAGAGAATACCCCACTGAAACCAGCTGCAAAAGCTGGCCCAGTTTAGCCTTCCAGGAGCAATTCAGTAGCCTCTGACCAGCTAATCATCCTTTTGTACAGTCAGATCCCAAAGCACTGACAGGCAGTAGAAGTCTTAACTGAACAGTCTGGGAGGGGAACTAAGAGCATTCAGCAAATAAGTCACAATTCTTAATTTCCTCTTGGCTCTTTCTGCTTCAATATGTAGTGCCAAGAAACCCAGCACCCAAACCCCCTCAAAAAAAAAAACCCAAAAAGCCAAAACCCACACCCAAAACAAAACCACAAAAAAAAAAAAACCTACACATGACAGGAAATGGGGGTTTGGATTTAGACAGGCACACCAAGAGCTTCATCTACAACAGGCATGGACTTAAATACTCAGAGGAAATTCGTGTACCAGGAGGAACCCATCTACTATTTACATATTTAACCTGCTGCTATTGGATTGAGTTTGTGCTTGTACCAGGTCTCAGCTTCTAATTTTCCCAAAAGCAAAATACCAGTATTTATGATGTTAGCAGGTGATTAGAGGAATTCCATGTTCAGCAGAGATGGGATAGTTAATTATCAAATAGCTGGATGCAGTTGAACCTAGCTTATTTCTTAAAATGTGGCAACCAGTCTTTTGGGCAGCCAAGGGAAGGTGCTGTCAGCCACAGATCATAGACAGAGCTTTCACCCTAAAGAGCAATACAAAGACAACAAAAAAAATCCCTAGAAATCATCCTGTTCTTGTTACTACATTAAGGCTAAGTGAGCCACGTGAACAGATTCCAAATGTAGGTATAACTTTCTTGTTTTCTGACCTTGTACAAGTCTTTATTCAGTCCTTACCCATCAAAATTGTTCACAGTATAAATCACTTATTTTCCACTGAAAACCACCTTCACTCACTTATTTTCTTTTTGCAGAAATTATTCAAAGATATGAGCCATTTTACCACCAAAATCTAGGAAAAAGCATTGAAGATGATCTGGAGGAGTTAAAAGTGAGTAATACGCTAAGCAATTTAAAGCATCAGATCCCCAGCCCCAGTTCTGGCCAGGTTCTGCCACTTTGGTCCTGCTTTTGACCTGCTTCTGTGATAAAATGGCTGGATTTGGGAATGAGGGCAGAGCAGTGTGTGTTATTCACCTGGAGGTTCTCCACACCCAACTGTGCAGAGCTCTGAGCTACCAACTCCAGTCCCATGGGTGACCCTGTGTGGAGCAGGAGGTGGGCCTGAGGTCCCCCGAGAGCTGTTCTCACCCAGATGACACCCAGATTCTATGATAAGACTTGGAAAAGTTCCTCATGTGTCCATTAAGCCTTACTCATGAAATAAAATGTTATTCCTCGTGATGGAGAAGTGGCAGAATCTGATTCAGAAGAAGTGTGAAAAAAGCTCAGTAAATTCTTGGTGGTGTTTGCCCTGCATGCAGGCAGTGTCCGAGTCCAGCCTGCCTGAGGGCAGGAGGCTGTACTGCAGTTGTAACAGCAGGGAAAATCTGAAACTGGATGCTTTTCCTGAGGCTCCAAGTTGGTTTCTTTTACTTTTCTGGCTGTAGATTTATAAATGATGATAAAAATAATTATTTCTTGCATGAAAGTAAGAGAAAGATAGCTTCTTGAATGACTAGGCTGATAATGGAACCTTTTTGATCAGACTTTATCAATTTACTCCCATCAGTCGTTCTGACAGCTAGCAGTGAGAACTCCTGGCATGAGGGGGTTAATCTCTGCAGTGACACGAGGCTCAGAAGCTGTGTACCCAGTTACTTGAAGAAAACTTCCTTTGTGAAACCATTCATTTACAGTTTTCTTTAAAGTACTTCCTTCTGTCATCAAGTCTACGGTTGTGGAAATGAAATTTTCTGGCATAGAGATCATGTGATGCTTATGAAGCACCAGTGACTGATCAAAAAAACAACCAGTAGAGTTTTGCAGAATGAAACAAATTTCCTGGACTGATTTGACCCAACTCACTGACACTTCAGCTACCAACCCCCTGCTCTAGCAGCTCAGTTACTCAAACGAAATCTGAGGACCTGAGGTTGAACCACACTTCAGAATGTCATCTTCTGCTTTTGGAAGGAAGTAGATTTTTTTGGGAAGAGATAGTAGTTGTTAACTTTTAGCCTGTGAAAGTACTTCTTGGGTTTACTTAAAGAAATCCATAGCTTTTAGAGATTATTCTATGAGTAAAAAGCACTTGGGAGAAATAATTTTTTCCAGGTCAGAAAGGTTTTGTACTTGCAGTGAAGTCTGAACATCAAAAGACTAGAACAGGAGTGGATTTTGTCTTCGTGGCAGTGAAGCAAGGATGAGGGTTTGCAGCAGGAAAATTGTGCTGCATCTTTCTGGAGATCTGCTCTGAACTCCTTGCTCCAGATGCTTCCCCCAGAGGTCATTGTGGCTGTACCCAAATGTGAAGGTGCCTCCTCGCCCCTCGCTGCTGGCGAGGGAGCTCCCTGAGGA